CAAGCTCAATTATAATTGGAATTTTTATAACATTTGCGAACAATCAAACGGTTAAACAAACAATTAGACAAACGCCTGAAAAAAATTGCGAAAAACACACCATTACGAGAGAAAATAAAAACAAAGCTCACAAGTTTAAACTTCACATAGACAATAACGTAAATAATCTTGGAAAAAATAGGAAATACAGTGAAAATTAGGGAGGAAATTGCTAAATTAGGGTGGAAACAGCTGATCGCCGCGGTCGTGACGCGCTGCAGCCGCGTCGCGACCCTGGGGTCGGCTGATCAACTGCTCGGATGACGACGATACCCTGTGTAGAGGGTCACTCAATTCGACTAAGAATTTTTACACAGCAATTCAATTATTCTGAAAATTGATTACTGCACAGCTCCTTTTCGGTCTGGTTCCATGTCTTGATCCGTTCTGCGAGAGTACACCTTCAATCGAGCATTATCCTGGAATGCTTAAAAAGGATCTTGAAACTCATGAAACTCATGAAGCAGGGATCAACAAGGGATCAACAGGGATCAAGGCGATAAATTTCATGAGCAGCTCATAAAACTTATCGCCTTGATCCCTGTTGATCCCTTGTTCACTCCTTCAAGTTTCTTCACAGAGCTCGGAATGACTCAGCATCAAATCAGAGAGTTCATTATCTAACCCACGGCACCATGTTGGACATCATACTGAAGGATATCCTTATCTTATTGAGTTTGTGATGTTATTGTGGCCTGGGCCACCGACATATGGTCACCGCCTCTTCACTGCTAGATAGTAAAAGTTTTTCACTGTTTTTTTGAGCCTGGCTTCAGTGATTCGAAGTGTTAGTGATGTTCTGAGCATTAAATACTAGTCATTCTAGAAGTCGGAGCCACTAGCATCATTTGCGCAAATAGGCCGCTGAAGTGTACAATATCTAACGTGCCTTGGTTGAGAATGCTTCAACATCTTTAGGCAATACCATCATTCCGAGTTCGTTTGCTCGAATATTGGTATGTAAGTTACTACGTAATACGCTAAGTTTATTGTTAGTGTAAAGCATGAGAGTGAGTTTTCACTGTGAGCATTGTATTATTGCCTTATTGCATATGCAAATCTTGTATTATTGAATTATTTTAATTTAGTATGTCACGTTTCGTGTTATGATGCTGTCATATATGTGGTTAAGAGAGCTCTCACTGTTTACTTGGACTTTCCTTTCAAATGCGCATATCTCTACTTGAATAAAACCTCCCTGATCGAGATGACACAATGCTATCAACA